AATATACCGTCCTGGAACTGGAACATAGCTTTGTTTTATAGTGATTTTAATTCTTAAAAATATAAAAAAGTAAAAAAAGTCTAAACCATGAAAAAAGAAAATACATGCTATTCAATAACATTGGCGCCATCTGCTGGGGCCAAGTAAAATACATCTCTAATGTTGATATAAAGACAGTGATACAAATCTTCTCTTTAGATTGTTTATTCTTCAATTTAAGAATTAGCTCAGTGACCCATTATTCAATTAATATATAGCAAAATTAGTTTTGCAAAACGTGTTGGATTTTTTTCAGTGGCAGAGGGTCTGCATTGCTATTGGTCAGTTCTATTACACTAATTATGATATTGTGTGTGGTTGCCTGATGAATATTGTATCCATTCCACTCACCGGGTATCAACTGAAGAAGCATGAAGACTTATCAGGGTTCTGATCCAGGAATTAATAAGCACTAAAGTCATTGAGATGAAGTCATCTGGGTGCAGCGATCCTGCAGTTTTAACCCTGAAATTGAAAACATTGCAGGTTTTTAAAAACTGCCATGTTTCTATTGCAGGGTTAAACACACCTCTGGTGGCCATCTTCCAGACAGCCACTAGGTGTGCTCCCTGAGCAACAACAGAGTAAAACTCTGTTACGTGATGTTGCAGCTCATAGGAAAACATTGAATTCAATGATGAAAGCTGAGGAGCATTGGATTGGACCGTCTATAAGACAGTCGGATGACATCATGGGAGGTGGAGCAGCCGAAAACGCCGAGGGAGTCCTGGCACTGGCAAAAAGGTAAGTAAATTTATTTTATTTTTTTACTGAAAAGGGGGTGAGGGAAAGAGCTAAAACTAAGCCAGAACTAGGACATTATAGCGTTTGGAATACAAGTTTGTGTTCCTAACACTATAGTGTTCATCTAAGAAATACTTTTAAGAGATAGTCACTGTACATGGCAGAATACAATTTTATGGTGCTTCTAATTTTGTTTGTGAACAGTTTGACAATTTACCTGGAGACCGCTGGGCTCTGGTTATCTCGTTAAGAGCCAGGAGCTCCCTGCATTAAACTAAGCAGGAAGTGACCTGCACCTGGTAAACCCCAGGTAAGTTGTCAAACCGCTAGCGCACAGTTTGACAAATTCCATGGGATGGATCCAGGCTCAGCGAGTTGTAGTGGTTATGGTGTTTGGAATGTTTCTTTAAATAACCCTCAGTCTTCCACCCTCGACCTTCAAATTGTGACCAATTGACAGTTCATGGAGTCTATCCTTTCCTAACTCATTCTCTTTATTGCAGTGAGCTTGGAGTTTGGAAGAGCTGTGTGGCTGAGATTCTACCCTTCCACATACCCACCCTGTCCTCACCCAAGTTTTGTGGCTCACTTGGGTGGAGTCCTAGTTGGAATAACTTTGGGGGTTGTGATTCTTCGAAATTTCGAGCAGAGACTACAAGACCAGTCACTCTGGTGGATATTTCTTTCGATCTATGTTTTATTTATGGCCTTTGCCATCCTGTGGAACATTTTTGCTTTCAATCTCTTGGCTTTGAGATTATCGCCTCCTCCATAGATGCCAGATATTTCCTGTTTCTGAGACCACTGCAAAACGTTGGAGGTTTAACTGGCATTATCCAATCCCCACGCTAGGTTTGTATTAGATGTCCAGCCAGAAAGAGAGTGACCCGGACAATAGGATTGGAAGAATATGGTGGCAGAAGTGGGATTGCTGAACCCTTTAAACAGTCCTTCTTTAAAATTACATTGTCACTTTCAATTTTCCCTAGAATGATAATAGCAGCAGATTATTATATAAATCTAGCAAAGCTATGGTAAACAAAATAGCAAAGAACGGTGGTGAAAATGGCCTTCTTGAAACTGCATTACAAGGGCAGTTGCAGATTTATTTTTCTATTTTATTTTCAGGAAATGCAGTGTTTTAACTGCCTTATAGTTAAAGCCCACAGGAAGCTTAAGTTACACAATTAAAAAAATAAAATAAAGATGATCAGCATCAAGTATAGGCAGGTTTTAAACATCCCTTCCTGAATACAAGGCTGTGTATTTATAAAGAATTTGTTACCATACTCCAATATAGTAGTAGGTGCAGAAATATTAGTGAAATGGTAAACCAATATAGTAGAAGTATCTACCTAAAAGTTACATTAAATAAACTGACAAAAACAAATCAGCCCACTCCGAGTACTATAGAGATTGAGTTACAGTGTAAACATCTCGTCCTCTCCCCATCAAAATATCCTAATAATGCTGGTTTGTACTTAGCTTTCGTTACATAAGAGATACATATTTTAATTTACAAAGATATATTGTCTTTAGTTTATTAACCTTATCCTAGTCACAGGTACTCATACACCCCTACTGGGTGTTAACAAAGAAAGATAGATGAATTAAAAAGACCTCCAGTTCAATGCGCTAGATGTTTAATATTTGGGTATTAACCAAAAAAGTAACGTAAAGCAGAACACATGCCCATTGCCTTGACAAATCGTATAGCTCAGCCTGTCTGCAATAGAATAATAACCAGATACAGTAACGGCTACTTTTTATAACGGTACACTTTGCCAGGTAAGCCCCTCGCTATAATAGAACTAACCCCGACAAGGATTACATTCCGGAGAAATCGCATAGGATTCCAGTACTGGTATTAAATTATACAGAACAAGCAGTAACATGGTTAGATACTAGGTGGGGTAAGACAACCATCCGTTGTGTACACCTACACTATTATCAGGTTGCCAGGCAACCAGACCGAAAACACAAACACTTTGCCCCAGCGAGACAGATGGTAAAATGAGTAGGAGATGAAGCTGTGTTTTGTGATGATGTGGGGGCGGTGCCAGTCAAAACAAGATGTTAAGTAGTTTTAATGGAATGATTTCATCTTTAAACCCTATACTAGTCATGGCGGCCTTCAATACTAGTCAGGGTGATAGCAGAGAGGTTATTCTGTGTAAATCATATTAAATAAATCAGGTGGAACTGTGTGAATAACTACCTCTTACTTTATGCCGTCCAATCAATGCTTACCCAGCCGTGGCTCATGGAAAGAAATTTACCGAACAGCTAAACTATGAGAGGTGCTATGGATCGTAAGCAAAATGCATAATTTAGAGTTAAAGGGACACTATAGTCACCAAAATAACTTTGGCTTAATGAAGCAGTTTGGGTGTATAGATCATGCCGCTGCAGGCTCACTGCTCAATTCTCTGCCATTTAGGAGTTAAATTTACTTTTGTTTCTGTTTTATGCAGCCCTAGCCACACCTGCCCTGGCTGTGAATGACACAGTGTGCATGAAACTTTTTTTATTTTCAATCAGATGTAAATTACTTTAGATGTTTTTATCTCCTGCTCTGTAAATGTAATTACATTACATACATACAGGAGGTTCCTGCAAGGTCTAGCAAACAGAGCAGGAGATAATAAATTCTAAATTAAACAGAATTTGCAATAAAGGAAGTGTAAACATTAGATGACTCTACAGGAAGTGTGTAGGAAGGCTGTGTAAGTCACATGCTGGGAAGTGTGACTAGGGCTGTATAAACAAAGTGTTTAAACTCCTAAATGGTAGAGAATGAGCAGTGAGACTATACACCATAACTGCTTCATTAAGTGAACGTTGTTTTGGTGACTGTCCTTTTAAATTATGAACAGAATCGCAAGCACTGAAAACACGTGCCATTTCCTTTCATTAACTATTTTTGTATTTCTGTATATTTTTGTACATATTTTCTTTATTGTTAGTAACGGGAAAATGACATCATTAAATATATTTTGCACAAAAAGGTGTAACGGAATGATTTGTTTGCGAGCGCATGTTTCACTGCAAAAAGATGCACAGGCATGGGCTAGATAGCTAACAATTACGTTGCTTGGGACGGTTTTACTTTACAGGCTTCACTTCCGGTTGGTATGCAGCTCCGGTGCCCGAATTTCCGTGTATGTTGCTTTATCGCTTCTCTTGTCGAGTGAATCAAATTACATACAGACTGAAAAAATGAGAACAGGAAGCTTCACATTCCAATATTATAAATAGGAAGGGAAGCCCATAAGGTAATGTAACCTGTACTTTTATAGAACACAGCCATTAGGGAAAAACTTTACTATGCAAAATAAAAAAACAGCCTGTTTTAAAAGTACCTTCACTCCTAACCTAATCCCGCACACATTTTGTTCACCTCTCCTCCCTTGTTTATGCTGTAATTGGAGGTTCCATCGGTAATGAGTGAGTCATTGTATGCAGCTCATTAATCATTAACAATACCATGTATTTAAATGCATATATTTAGTGGTGTATCACTACAATTTTTGTTATTTTCCGGTTTATTGCAAACCACCATTTCAAAGATTACCGTGCATACATGTGTGACTTTAAAATTTAGGAATCTTAAAATGGGAGATCTGCACAATAAAAAAAATAATAGAATATATTTTCAAATTAATTAACCTACAAGGCCATTACCAAGCGACACTGTGATCTGCTCACAATTCCACAATTAGAAGGAAGAAAGCTTCACTAGATCTCGCTTCCTATCATAAAAAGTAAGATCTGATGGAAATTCACTATCAATGGAAAATAGACACAACAAATCTGACCTCCACCAAGGTTTAATTCCAGGCTGTAGTCATGTGACATGAGAAAAGGGCAGGAGAGATCTTTTTATAAAGGAATCTGTCACCTTTAAAATGCTTGGGCAGCAATATTTGCTTGAACGGCACGGCTACTTCTTCCCTTGTGCTAATGCCTCCTCCTGAAGCTGTCAGGTCATATTATCATCCACTAAATTAGATGAGTAAATTAATTGGAAGTGTTAATTATGCAAATTAACCACTTCCAGCAGGTGTGCGCTGGAATGACAAATCCTAGGTGACAGATCTCCTTTAACGTGTAAGTACTCTCTGCTAATTTTAGGAGTTGGGGGAATGGTACCTTTAAAGCTGTGAAGAGGGAGGGGCAGCGTTTACAGAGAAAACCTCTTAGAAATGTATAAATGTCCCCATCGGCCTCCTGCACACCTTATAAAACTGTGATTTGCAGTATGGAAGCTCACCACATTCATTTACGTAGACACATTGCATTCAAGGCAGACAAAGAAATCAACGCAGGGTTAGTTACAGGATTTCGTTTATTACAATACTCAAATCAAGCAGGTGTATACGAAAACCTTGGAGGAAAAGTCTATTTGCAGAAAAAAATAAATTTGTCTTTAAAAGGCACAATGCAAATAATAACAGTTTTGAAAGTATTAACAAATAGACTCAGAAAGACTCCCAGATACAAACACATTAATGACATCACCATGCAAAAGAATAAATCTGGTTTGTTTTCTGAACAACCTTACACTGGAGACATTACATCACAAAGTGCTGAATCATTAAACTGAACAGACTGACCACTTAATTCAAATGCATTTGCATTTCAAACTTATGATTAGTAAGTGGGAGATTGCGAATAACAAGCCCGGAAGCCTTTGGTAAACCTAATCTATCACATTAACATATTATTATTTAATATAAACCCTGGCCAACAAAGTTTACCAATATTCCTTCATATAAATTACAAATATATACACATGGTTATATCTACCAGTCAGTTTTCTTATACCCTTCAGAAATACATAGCCAAAAAAAATAATGAAATGCCCTATAGTGCAGTGTACGTCTCCCGCAAGGAATGATTCATCTGTGAATAGGCTTGCAGATACTTTACAAGTTGATACACTGGAATTCTATCCAGACATTGAGATGCCCTCTATTGTCTATATGTAAACTGTATAGTGTGTTCTGGGGGTATAGGGCCACACACAGACATATAATGGTCCTCACAGAAGAGGTTCAGGATATTGGGTTAAGAGACACACAGCCGGAAATGTAGGGGGAAAGAGTGAGAAAACGTGACCTTCGTCCTTACAGAACAGTGGCTTTTCCTGTGTTAACACAAGGTTTTCGTCCATGGCATTGAATTATATGTTACATGTTAAAAGGTAGAATTTTAGAAAGTAAAAAAAATCAAACAGGATTACTTGAAAATGGAAAATGGAATAAGAGGGATAGAGTAGGCCCCCATGTGTTAGGTATAACCAGTGAGTTAGAGTTAGTTAAGCTTTATTTATTTACAGTTTTCTCCCAGCCCATCTCATTTGAACCCCCAAATGAAGCATTTTCTTTTTGCTCCGATACTGCAGCTGTTTGTGAAAGCATCCCATATGAATATATTATCCTGGGAGTTTGCACGTCGAAGCTTTGTGGAAACTGACTGCTGCACAGACCATACTTTTGTTAATTCTTAAAAAGCCACAAATGTGACTGCATTTTATGTTTTTTCATGAATTTATGATTTATTTTATTGTATTGTGTATGAAGGCAACTTGCTAAACACTTTCAGAACAAAACAGACACCCGCCAAACCCCTGAAATGAAGAGATTATGAGTTGTGCTTACTACTCCTTATACAGTAACATGCTAGAATAAAACTCTGTGGATGGTGCCATCAGTATACGTTCAGTAGTAATGTTGGTCTCTCCAGCTAACACAGTACAATAAAGTTCTAGAAATGGGACATTACGACCTACGTATCCCTTCAACCCCATGAATCTTCCTCTAGGAACAGACTAGTCTGACTGCAATAAACTACTCTTGTACAGCACACACACCTCCTACAGTAACTGAGAGCTCAATGATTGGACAACCTGTAGTAATGAAATGGTTAAGAACACGTTTTGGATCGTACCACTTTTCCAAGCACCAATGTAGTGATTTAAGAAAGAAACTACTGGACCCAAGAAAGACCAATATTTTGAATAAAGTGATGGCTAACAATATAGTGACAACCATATAATTCCCGCATTATGAAAATCTACCCAAAACAACACCGTAATGAGCTTAGGCTCCTCCGCTAAAATAACCCAATCTGAAAATTACATGAAGGAAGATTTCACATTATCTTTTACAACACTCAAACACTGTGTATGTGTATTTATACAAAACCACACAAATACATGTTATAGGCAAAGTAACAATGGCTCCAGTATGGGATCTGTGCAAGTCATGTAAACCCAGGTTTGGAGAGCTTCTCTGAACTAGCACCTCACGCCAAGTTCCTGAAAAAGGCAAAGAGGAACCTTGCTTCAGGAAGCCCTGGTTCCTCAAGGAAGAAGTTTTCTTCATTCCGTATTTGAAATATCCAATATTCAGCTTCCTTAACTTATAAAATTCCCACAGGGTTTGGTGAATCTCCCTAGCAAGCTCATACCTTGCCTAAGTCTGTTTAGGCAGTATGTACAAAGCCTAGCCAAATTATGTTGACATTTCACAATCTGCCTGATGCATTAATAAGCATTCTATAAATGCCTGCATCTCACACTTTGCCTGTAACATATACTCACAAATAAAATCACATGCTAAAAGTGCTCAAGGAGGGCTGTGGGATAAAGTTAATTTTTCTTGCAAGCGCAAGTTAGTTACCTGCTCAGTTTGAGCAATGTGGGAAACAAGGTGCAATTACATGCTTGAGGATTTCATCCTGAAAACAAACCAGTCCTCGACATTGTAAACGTTCGTTATACAGAATATAATCTGTATTTTAACTAAGTGAGGAGCAGCAATGAGGACAAAAGATGCCCGTGTTAGTGGATAACTGAGGCAGTCAATGTCTACCGTGACCTTAGACACAGGAAATGGTTAGCGGCCATCTTGGATGAGGGAAATATCTGCCCTATAAACAAACTATCTTCAAAACTACAGATCCTAGTGATCAGAGCTGGATTTTTGTGTGTAATATAACCAACTATTTTTTTTCCCTCTGTATCCAACTTACAGTGTATCCTGTGCAGTGAGAGAGCGTAGTCAATGCAACTGTAATACTGTGCGAGAAGGATCAGTTACAGGTTTGTTAAAGGGATTTCTCACTATGGGACACAAAAACTCAGAGCACGAAGTTAGGAATTGTGTACAGCAGATCCCTCTTCCAGAATGAACTCCTCCAGAACGCTCACCACGCTGCCAGACTCCGGCATTTCTGCTTGCTCCACCTTTACAAACTTAAGGAGCAGGTCTCCATTGCCACAGTTCTTCAGGAACGTGTAGCAGCGGAACAGAGCATAATGACTCATTTCTGCCTGCCGGATCAGCCGCTTCAGACTGTTCATGTCCTGAATGACCTGCAAAATAATGGGAAACAATATTTATACATATATCATGCTTCTTTTTATTTACTTCTATTACTTTTAAAGTTTTATTGGAAGCAGAGAAAGGAGAGAGCTAAAATCATATGGGTATATTTTTTTTTCTAGAATTATACACACGAGGTAGAAATTGTGAACTACACAGAAAATAATATTTGATCATTTATTGAATACTTTTTATCTTGGTGGTACCGTTTCTTTAAATAATGTATCCAATTTAGATAAGCTAATTGGTAACATTTGAGATTTAGCTGTTAAACATGTTGGAAAATAACGATACGGATATAGGCCCAAAGGATTCCATTCATGGTAAAGGATATTAGCAGAATGCAGAGAGATCTTGTTAAGTATTTGTGGATAAAAATACGTGGGTTACTTCTGGCAATCAGAAAATTGTCGGTTACAAAGCCAAGTTTTCCAGGGAGGAGCACGTGGAATAGAATATAGACATTGTTGTGAACGGAATTTAACAAATTTGCCAGAGGCTTAAGAGCTAAGATGTAATGGGGGGGGGAATAAAAACCATTCCTGTCTAGTTTAAATTTTAACCCTTTTAGTCCCTGGCAATTAAATAATGCAGTATCTGTACTGATTGTCATTTCCTTCCCCAATTCAGAGTTTATTAATAAGATTTTCCATTAAACTGTCAAACTGTATGTGAAGGGTGCAGGTGCGGTTTGCATAGGCTGCTGCAAGATGTTGGAAATCGTCTAATTTACACTTGGGCAATCTGCTCCATTGTTTGCCATTCCTTAAAGGACCACTATAGTGCCAGGAAAACATACTCGTTTTTCTGGCACTATATTGCCCTGAGGGTGCCTCCTCCCTCAGGGCCCCCTCCCGCCGGGCTGGATGGAGAGGAAGTGGTTAAACTTACCTCTTTCTCCAGTGCCGGGCAGGGAGCTCTCCTCCTCCTTGGCTGAATGCGCATGCGCAGCAGGAGCTACGCGTGCATTCAGCCGGTCTCAAAGGAAAGCATTCATAATGCTTTCCTATGGACGCTGGCGTCTTCTCACTGTGATTTTCACAGTGAGAAGCACGCAAACACCTCTAGCGGCTGTCAATGAGACAGCCACTAGAGGCTTTAGAGGCTGGATTAACATATTTATAAACAGAGCAGTTTCTCTGAAACTGCTATGTGTATAAAAAAAAAAAAGGGTTAACCCTAGCTGGACCAGGCACCCAGACCACTTCGTTAAGCTGAAGTGGTCTGGGTACCTATAGTGGTCCTTTAAAAGAACACTACAGCATTAGGAATACAAAACTGTATTCCTACCACTATAGTGTCCCTCTTCCCCACCCTTGGCAGCTAATAAAAGGTTAAAGAATACTTTTTTCACTTAGCTGATTCCAGCGTCGATGTCTTTAGGCGCTGGGTTGGGCTCCTCGTCATCCGACGGGGGAACCTAATGTACATGTGCGGAGAGAGCCTTCCCCAAAGAAAAGCACGGACGCAATGCTTTCCTAAAGGGGTTTTGACGACGATGTAGGTCCACGTCCAGCGTCGTTTCATGGAGTCAAACTCCGTGAAGCTGCAGGAAGCGCCTCTAGTGGCTGTCTGGTGGAGGCACTCTTAATACAGCAATGTAAAGAATGCAATTTCTCTGAAACTGCAATGTTTGCAGCTGCAGGGCTAAAATGACAGGGACACTGCACCCAGACCATTTCAATGAGATGAAGTGGTCTGTTTGCCTAAAGTGTTTCCCTTTACACAATTCCAAGTCACAATCTGTTAAAATATAGGGCTATTTCCACAAGTTTTACCCTTTCCTGACATTGTAATACCTGGACTTACTAGATGATGGGTTTATTTCCTGAGTTAGGATTTTATTTTTCCTTATCCTGTCCCTTCTTTCTTTATGATTAATTATTGTAGTAAATGTTACCATTGCCTGCTGCATTTCTTGTAAGTGGTTTGTATTACGTGGAAAAACGTTTTTTTTTTTAACGTCTTATTTGAAAAGAGAAAAAAAACTGAAAAAAAAACATATTCTTGATGATCACTTACCTTCAGCTTGAAGTTTTCCAGCTTCTGGCGAAAGAGAAAGGGATTTCCGCCATCGTATGTATTGATAAAGACCTGCATCCAGTCCTCACAGAACTTGTTGCTCACTGTAAAGACATGAACGCATGAAACGTGCTTTCTTCAAATACTCCAATCAAAGTGTAAATGTGTAAGTGTTAAGCAATGTCTCAGAGTTCATTAATTAGCACCCATTAATGAGGTCAGAGGTGTGTGCTCTAAATATGTATATTTGCACAAAAAGTGCACTTACTCTGGAGGGCGCATTGTAGTTAGTATTCCTTTTCTAGGAAGGAAGCATAGTATTTCTCTAGCTTTAAAGTACGTCCTGCGCATTAACTATGGCCAAAGGTATGATATAATAGGCAGTTTGCTGCCCGCAGCATGGATATTGTTTATTGTGCCTGGAATTAGGGCCCTCTATACAAACATGGATTCTTAATGCTATAGTGTCCTGCTTGCCGTTTAGGAGTAAAACAAAGAATTTCTCCCTCGCCACAGTGCTCTCTCTGTGGTCAGTACTACCTCCTTGGCTGAAATCATCAATCTCGATGATCTCAGCCAATCCAATGCCATAGGAAAGCACTGGAAGGCTAGTGCACATTCACAGCAAAACGTTGAGTTGCGCCAATCATATGGTCTGTATGAGAGGATCTGATTGAAATAGCAGAGGTTAACTTGGTTATTTTAGCAGAAGCACCTCTAGTGGCTGTCAGTTTTACAGTCACTGGAGGCATTTTAATCCCACATTGTAAACATTGCCATTCCCGCAGAACGGCAATATGTGCAGTTGCAGAGTTAACAGGGACATGGCACCCAGATTACGTCATTGACATTAAGTGGCCTAAGTACCTATTTAGTTTGAGTGTATAGATCATGCCCCTGCAATCTACTCTATTCACTGCCATTTACGAGTTAAAGCACTAGCCTTAAAAAAGATATTAAAATGTATAGCGTCCCTTATTGCACAGAGTGTTTAATGTAGAAGTTATTTCTTCCACTGATAATTGCTTGATAGAGCTTACAGCAGCTTCCTGTGTGTGAATAAAGCTCAATTAACACAACAGCAGATAACTTCTAAAGTAAACAAAGAGACTGTGCTTAAAAATAAAACCCTTTTTTCCCCCCATGGTGGTGGTTTCATTAAGTTAAAGTTGTTTTGGTGCTTAATAAGGTAATGTTAGGAAATGGCATATTGTGCCTGAATGGACGGCCCCTTGGCTTTATAAATTAAGCTTAAGAAGTGTTTCAGCTAGCAGGATAAGTCGTGGTTAGGAGACAATGCTCTAGGAAGGACCATTTTCCAGTTTAGATATAATTAAGAGATTAAAGAAGTTTTGGTAAGGAGGACCATCTGGTTAAAACCATCAAGGTTATGGTCATGGTTTAGTAAACTGGGAAAGAAAGGTCCTTGGGCTTGTAAATAGCCGGAAATTCTCACCTGCATTAATGAACTGTGGCTGGGAATCACTGAAATCCACATGCACAGGTTTCTGAAGTTCGTCGCTCATCACAATACAGAGGGAGTTCATGGTACCTTCCTGAACAAGGCCTTGCAGACTCGCTAAGCTCATGAACCTTATAAAGTGAGAAAACGCTCAGCACAAACAAGCCATGGGGAGAAAGCAGAGCAGTTACTTTGCTTGCAACATTCTCTATTTTACGCTTTTTACTTATTACAGGAATAGAGAACCCGAGCAATGTGATAATTTGTACAGTGATTATATTTATAGAACCTTATGTGAAAATGAAAGGTTTCCTACAATCTCTCTTGAATGCCCTACCATACACACTGTCAGAAACAACCAGTCCGGGAGCTGATTACAATAGGCCTACCATAAAGGAAATACTGTTTCAACGTATAATATTATAGTAATATAGTTTCCTATTTACCTGTTTATATCATTCTGTGTTCCAGGATCTGCATTGTTCACTTCTACTGGAGTGTAACTCAGAGCCTTAACACAAAGAAATGAATGGTATTAGGAAGGCATATGGTGCGTAGATTACATTAAAAATAGCATGTTTAATCCCACTCACTGCATGTAAAAAATAGGCCAACAATACCACTCACTGCATGTAATAAATAGGCCAACTTCTCCTGAAACAGAGTCACCACTCGATAAATGGGCAATACGGAGTCTCCAAACCAGTTGCTAAGAAGAGGCTTAATTTCTACTTCCAGATTGATCATCTACAGAGGAAATAAACAAGGGACGTATTTATCAATTCATACTATAATCCCAGACCAACACAAATGCCTAAAACGTCCACAGAGTAATAACAAAATCTGGTGGCTTTGCTATCTATTCTCTCAGTGATATGAAAGATCAGCTCAGAGGAAAATGGACAACTCCACTTATTCCCAGATCCCGATATTGAATTACCTGTGGGTCTAGTTTAGTCTTCAGGACTGCAGCGTATTTGTCTAGTTCCAATCTAAATGTACTGTCTTAAGGAATGTTCTCAGCAGATTTACAAGACATGTGAATAAGCAAATATCAGCTGAAACTGGGGATTGCTAAACAAAATGCCCTTACCCCGATGTGCCATGCGAACTATCCAATTCAGAAAACTTATCTTTTAAAGCATTTGTTTCAGAGTGCTACACCTCTATGTCAAAGAGCACCCCTCTACAGCCACTATTATTTTTATTATCTGCACTTATATGGCGCCAACTTATTCTGTAGCGCTGTACAATATTATAAAAGGGTGGAATTTAACAATACGAGACATTTAAAAAATGTTACAGGACTAATAGGTTGATAAGGACTCTGCTCGAAAGAGCTTATAATCGAGAGGAGGTGGGGTATAAAAATACAATAGGAAGGGTAGATAGCAACGAAGTGTGGGGGATAGCAACAAAACAACAAAGTGTGAATGAAGCAGAATTGGAATTTGAGAGTGGAGTGTGGCCCTTTAAGAGAGTGATACATTTGTGAAATACACGGGAGGCCATGAGCTATTCTTAAGAGTTTGGTTTGAGGGACTTCTTAAATGATTGAAGACTAGGGGAGAGTCTGATGGAGGTAGGCAGGCTGTTCCACAGGAGTGGAGCTGCCAGCGAGAAGTCCTGCAAGGGAGAGTTAGCAGTGAGGGTATGAGAACCAGACAGCAGAAGGTCACAGGCAGAGCAGAGCGACCAAGAACGTACAAATTAGTGAAGAAATGTAGCGGGGGGGGGAATACTACTTTATAGCAACTCTACACACAGTCCATAATATAATGCAGCACTCGACAGGATGCAATTCAAAGTGCAACAATCAGCAACGCAAATTCAGAGCACAACTCTCTACAACTTCCAATTCACCGTACAATCCTTTACTTCGTTAATTTTAAAGTCCGAGCCTCTAAAATATCAATTCCAGACCACACTTTCGCATCATTCACTCCTCTACTCATGTTTTTAATGCTCAATAAAAGGATATAGCTCTAGGCCCTTTTCGGAGCCTCCGAGAAAGCACACCACATATTCTGGAGGCTGGTTACTGGACTCGCATGCCTGGTCTTGTCGTAAAAGGCAATAATAACAACCCAAGCTGTATTCTGGAAAGCTGTCGGGAAAGAAATACATGTTCACCATGATATCTACTAAGAGAAATTATACTCCACACAAATAGATGTGAATTAGCATTAAACCCGGCAGACTTTGTCATTATGAGCAGTAACACCTTCAATGTCACGTTGATACCGATATACATAGCATCTTGCAAACAGCAATAGCACAGACATGAATAACTGATGTATTTGCACTTTGTGGTTGTAGCATGCTGGTAATGCAGATTAACTGCGACCGGGGAACTAATGATCGTTTTATCTTTGTAAACGGGTGGTGACTAATGTGTATTTGGTGGACTAAAGTCAATAATAGCTGCAATACTATAAGTTAGCCATCACTGCCTTACACAGTACTGCACCACAACATATGGAATTATAGCAAATTTCTGTTTCATACAATTTACATTGTTATGTAAAATGCAATTATCAGTGTTAGTGTGGCAGCCCAGGGTAGTGATTATGGTGCAAGGAGCCTACAGACACAGTCCCACATTTTGTTTTGATTTTTGTAAAACCATTTGAGCACCCAAAACCCTTCCTGGCTCAACACACATTGAGAAAATTGAATTTACATAATACCATTATTAATACAGTCCAATCTCAATGGATTGGATATTGGTAATGGTGCAAAATCTTTTGACAAAGATAAATGGGATGGTGCCCAAAGTCTCTGTGCACCATAACCCTTACATGGCGCAATAGTAGTTATGGTATTTAAATCAGTCCTAAGGAAGTTAAAAAACAACAGATATGGACAAACAGCATTAAAGAGGCAGTCTAAGTCTTTCTCCTTCTGATGACAGATTCCAAAAGATATTGTGTGGGTATTGAAAGGGTCCATTACCTGAGTTCTACAGGTGAGACATTACCCATCCCTTCAAACAAGGCGCCTCGAGACAGCCACTTAGCAATAAATCCCTTGAGCTCTGGCTCCGATTCAGCAGGTAAGCTTGTGTCCACCAGCGAGAGACTTCAAATAGATTAAAAAAAGAAATTATTTGGAAAATCTGTGTATGCAGGAGCAAAAATATCTCAACAAAATTATACCAATAGACTTTGCAACTTACTAGGATATTGGATAAAATTGGCCTAGTAAGGCAAGCTTGAAACCAGGGAAGGTAATACATTCAGGGTAAAAAGGTAAGCAGAAGATCAGGGCAGATAAAACAGTCAGGGTAAAAAGGAAAGCAGACTACCAGGAAAGGTAACACGATCAGTGTAAGAAAGGAAGCAGACTATCAGGACAGGTAATACAACCAGGGTAAGAAAGCACGCAGACTATCAGGACAGGTAACACGATCAGGGTAAGAAAGCAAGCAGACTGTCAGGCAGGTAATGCAACCAGGGTAAGAAAGCAAGCAGACTATCAGACAGATAATACAACCAGGGTAAGAAAGCATGCAGGCTATCAGGCAGGTAATGCAACAGGGTAAGAAAGCAAGCAGACTATCAGACAGATAATACAACCAGGGTAAGAAAGAAAGCAGGCTATCAGGACAGGTAACACGATCAGGGTAAGAAAGCAAGTAGGCTGTCAGGCAGGTAATGCAGTCAGCGTAAGAAAGCAAGCAGAATGACATTCGATTTTTAAAGAACACACCTGAAGTCCTCATTGGAGGACATTTCTCCCATAGCACCTGCTGGGGAGCCATCGTCACTATCTGCGACCGACAGGGACAGACTGCAAAACCACAAAAAATGAGTCTGGGAGGGCCTTTAATTACTACTATAGGAAGGTTCAGAGTTCACACTCGGCTAATATTTGAAAATGATATTTAGAGGGGGCGGTCATTACTAAGAAAACAGGCAGTCCTTGCTCACTCAGTAACAAGAGTGGAAGCAAATGTAAAACTTGACTTTGTCACATGTCAAAGATCTAACCATCGGCAAGGTTTATTATACATAAATATATAAAAAATATAAGAGAAACACCTCAGTGAGAAAGTAGAAAAAAGGTAAACAAATAAAATTGGTTTACCCTAACTAAACAGTAATTTGCATGTAGGATAGGACTCCTCCAGCTCCTCAACAATAGAAAATACACAATACCAGAAAACCGGTTACTGCAATGCAAATAAAAGAGACAACATAGGGCAATATTGCCATATATAGGGAAATATGTAAATGTGTAAAGATGCACTCACAAACCCCAATTGATTGAAGGCTTATCAATGTGTAACCGCAGGTGGTTCCCTTATTTACCACTATAATGTCTTAAAGCATAGAAATTAGTAGGGCTAACCATACAGATATCTTACCCATAATTTTATATAGTTAGTAAGAGATCCTCTATTTAACATATATAAATAATTGAGAATACAATATAAAATAAGGATTGTCTTGGAAGCAATAGTTTTGTCTTTTTGGATATTTATTATATAAAAATATAAATATAAAATCCATTATAGCAGAGTTTATAAGATTAAATTAAATGCTTGCAAATATCATTAATAGGTTAACATACCCTTCTGAACCCCTTCTATCTATGATTCTTAAACAGAAATGTTACAATTCCTGATACAGGCGCAGTCATTGTTATACAGAGACCTGCTCCCCCCTCTAACTAAGATTCTTATAAAGAAATGTGACAATCCCTGATACAGTCAGTGTTATACAGAGATCTGCCCCTATTCCCTGTAACTGTGATTTGTATACACAGATCTGCCCCCATTCCCTGTAACTGTGATTGTTATACACAGATCTGGCCTCCCTGTAACTGTGATTATTATACACAGATCTGCCTCCCTGTAACTGTGATTATTATACACAGATCTGCCCCATTCCCTGTAACTGAGAATGTTATACACAGATCTGCCCCATTCCCTGTAACTGTGACTGTTATACACAGATCTGCCCCATTCCCTGTAACTGGGATTGTTATTCACAGATTTGACCTCCCTGTAACTGTGATTGTTATACACAGATCTGCCCCCATTCCCTGTAACTGTGATTGTTATACACAGATCTAACCTCCCTGTAACTGTGATTGTTATACACAGATCCGCCTCCCTCTAACTGTGATTGTTATACACAGATCTGCCTCCCTGTAACTGTGATTGTTATACACAGATCTGCCCCCATTCCCTGTAACTGTAATTGTTATACACAGGTCTGACCCCCATTCCCTGTAACTGTTATACACAGGTCTGAGCCCCCTGTAACTGTAATTGTTATACACAGATCTGAGCCCCCTGTAACTGTAATTGTTATACACAGATCTGAGCCCCCTGTAACTGTGATTGTTATACACAGGTCTGACCCCCATTCCCTGTAACTGTGATTGTTATACACAGGTCTGACCCCCATTCCCTGTAACTGTGATTGTTATACACAGGTCTGACCCCCATTCCCTGTAACTGTAATTGTTATACACAGGTCTGAGCCCCCTGTAACTGTAATTGTTATACACAGATCTGAGCCCCCTGTAACTGTAATTGTTATACACAGGTCTGACCCCCATTCCCTGTAACTGTGATTGTTATACACAGGTCTGACCCCCATTCCCTGTAACTGTAATTGTTATACACAGATCTGCCTCCCTGTAACTGTGATTGTTATACACAGGTCTGACCCCCCTGTAACTGTGATTGTTATACACAGGTCTGACCCCCCTGTAACTGTGATTGTTATACACAGGTCTGACCTCCCTGTAACTGTGATTGTTATACACAGGTCTGACCTCCCTGTAACTGTGATTGTTATACACAGGTCTGACCTCCCTGTAACTGTGATTGTTATACACAGATCTGACCTCCCTGTAACTGTGATTGTTATACACAGATCTGACCTCCCTGTAACTGTGATTGTTATACACAGATCTGACCTCCCTGTAACTGTGATTGTTATACACAGATCTGCACCCATTCCCTGTAACTGTGATTGTTATACACAGATCTGCCCCCATTCCCTGTAACTGTGATTGTTATACACAGGTCTGACCCCCCTTTAACTGTGATTGTTATACACAGATGTTATACACAGATCTGACCTCCCTGTAACTGTGATTGTTATACACAGATCTGACCTCCCTGTAACTGTGATTGTTATACACAGATCTGACCTCCCTGTAACTGTGATTGTTATACACAGATCTGACCCCCCTGTAACTGTGATTGTTATACACAGGTCTGACCTCCCTGTAACTGTGATTGTTACACACAGATCTGACCCCCATGTAACTGTGATTGTTATACACAGGTCTGACCCCCATTCCCTGTAACTGTGATTGTTATACACAGGTCTGACCCCCATTCCCTGTAACTGTGATTGTTATACACAGGTCTGACCCCCATTCCCTGTAACTGTAATTGTTATACACAGGTCTGAGCCCCCTGTAACTGTAATTGTTATACACAGATCTGAGCCCCCTGTAACTGTAATTGTTATACACAGGTCTGACCCCCATTCCCTGTAACTGTGATTGTTATACACAGGTCTGACCCCCATTCCCTGTAACTGTGATTGTTATACACAGGTCTGACCCCCATTCCCTGTAACTGTAATTGTTATACACAGATCTGCCTCCCTGTAACTGTGATTGTTATACACAGGTCTGACCCCCCTGTAACTGTGATTGTTATACACAGGTCTGACCCCCCTGTAACTGTGATTGTTATACACAGGTCTGACCTCCCTGTAACTGTGATTGTTATACACAGGTCTGACCTCCCTGTAACTGTGATTGTTATACACAGGTCTGACCTCCCTGTAACTGTGATTGTTATACACAGATCTGACCTCCCTGTAACTGTGATTGTTATACACAGATCTGACCTCCCTGTAACTGTGATTGTTATACACAGATCTGACCTCCCTGTAACTGTGATTGTTATACACAGATCTGACCTCCCTGTAACTGTGATTGTTATACACAGATCTGACCTCCCTGTAACTGTGATTGTTATACACAGATCTGCACCCATTCCCTGTAACTGTGATTGTTATACACAGATCTGCCCCTATTCCCCTGTAACTGTGATTGTTATACACAGATCTGCCCCCATTCCCTGTAACTGTGATTGTTATACACAGGTCTGATCCCCCCTTTAACTGTGATTGTTATACACAGATCTGACCTCCCTGTAACTGTGATTGTTATACACAGATCTGACCTCCCTGTAACTGTGATTGTTATACACAGATCTGACCTCCCTGTAACTGTGATTGTTATACACAGATCTGACCTCCCTGTAACTGTGATTGTTATACACAGATCTGACCTCCCTGTAACTGTGATTGTTATACACAGATCTGACCTCCCTGTAACTGTGATTGTTATACACAGATCTGCACCCATTCCCTGTAACTGTGATTGTTATACACAGATCTGCCCCCATTCCCTGTAACTGTGATTGTTATACACAGATCTGCCCCCATTCCCTGTAACTGTGATTGTTATACACAGGTCTGATCCCCCCTTTAACTGTGATTGTTATACACAGATCTGCCTCCATGTAACTGTGATTGTTATACACAGATCTGACCTCCCTGTAACTGTGATTGTTATACACAGATCTGCACCCATTCCCTGTAACTGTGATTGTTATACACAGATCTGCCCCCATTCCCTGTAACTGTGATTGTTATACACAGGTCTGACCCCCCTTTAACTGTGATTGTTATACACAGATCTGCCTCCATGTAACTGTGATTGTTATACAGATACCTGACCTCCCCAACTGTGATTGTTAAGGGCTACAGATCTGACCTCCCCTGTAACTGTGATTGTTATACACAGATTCACCCTCCCTGTAACTGTGATTGTTAAGGCCACAAGATCTGACCCCCTGTAACTGTGCATTGTGCTATACACAGATCTGACCCCCTGCACCGTGATTGCAGTGTTAAGTACACAGATCTGACCCCCCTGTAACTGTGATTGTTATACACAGGTCTGCCCCCCCTGTAACTGTTATACACAGATCTGCCCCATTCCCTGTAACTGGGATTGTTATTCACAGATTTGACCTCCCTGTAACTGTGATTGTTATACACAGATCTGCCTCCCTGTAACTGTGATTGTTATACACAGATCTGCCCCCATTCCCTGTAACTGTGATTGTTTTACACAGGTCTGACCCCCCTGTAACTGTGATTGTTATACACAGATCTAACCTCCCTGTAACTGTGATTGTTATACACAGATCTGCCCCCATTACCTGTAACTGTAATTGTTATACACAGGTCTGACCCCCATTCCCTGTAACTGTAATTGTTATACACAGGTCTGAGCCCCCTGTAACTGTAATTGTTATACACAGATCTGACCCCATTCCATGTAACTGTAATTGTTATACACAGGTCTGACCCCCATTCCCTGTAACTGTGATTGTTATACACAGGTCTGACCCCCATTCCCTGTAACTGTGATTGTTATACACAGGTCTGACCCCCATTCCCTGTAACTGTGATTGTTATACACAGGTCTGACCCCCATTTCCTGTAACTTTGATTGTTATACACAGGTCTGACCCCCATTCCTTGTAACTGTGATTGTTATACACAGGTCTGACCCCCATTCCCTGTAACTGTGATTGTTATACACAGGTCTGACCCCCATTCCCTGTAACTGTGATTGTTATACACAGGTCTGACCCCCATTCCCTGTAACTGTGATTGTTATACACAGATCTGCCTCCCTGTAACTGTGATTGTTATACACAGATCTGCCCCCCAGTAACTGTGATTGTTATACACAGATCTGACCCCCCTGTAACTGTGATTGTTATACACAGGTCTGACCCCCCTGTAACTGTGATTGTTATACACAAACCTGCCCCCATTCCCTGTAACTGTGATTGTTATACACAGATCTGACCCCCCTGTAACTGTGATTGTTATACACAGGTCTGCCCCCCCTGTAACTGTTATACACAGATCTGCCCCATTCCCTGTAACTGGGATTGTTATTCACAGATTTGACCTCCCTGTAACTGTGATTGTTATACACAGATCTGCCTCCCTGTAACTGTGATTGTTATACACAGATCTGCCCCCATTCCCTGTAACTGTGATTGTTTTACACAGGTCTGACCCCCCTGTAACTGTGATTGTTATACACAGATCTAACCTCCCTGTAACTGTGATTGTTATACACAGATCTGCCCCCATTACCTGTAACTGTAATTGTTATACACAGGTCTGACCCCCATTCCCTGTAACTGTAATTGTTATACACAGGTCTGAGCCCCCTGTAACTGTAATTGTTATACACAGATCTGACCCCATTCCATGTAACTGTAATTGTTATACACAGGTCTGACCCCCATTCCCTGTAACTGTGATTGTTATACACAGGTCTGACCCCCATTCCCTGTAACTGTGATTGTTATACACAGGTCTGACCCCCATTCCCTGTAACTGTGATTGTTATACACAGGTCTGACCCCCATTTCCTGTAACTTTGATTGTTATACACAGGTCTGACCCCCATTCCTTGTAACTGTGATTGTTATACACAGGTCTGACCCCCATTCCCTGTAACTGTGATTGTTATACACAGGTCTGACCCCCATTCCCTGTAACTGTGATTGTTATACACAGGTCTGACCCCCATTCCCTGTAACTGTGATTGTTATACACAGATCTGCCTCCCTGTAACTGTGATTGTTATACACAGATCTGCCCCCCAGTAACTGTGATTGTTATACACAGATCTGACCCCCCTGTAACTGTGATTGTTATACACAGGTCTGACCCCCCTGTAACTGGGCCAGATTGTTATGTATGTGCCCATCCCCCTGTGATTACAGTACAGGTCTGACCTCTGTAACTGTGATTGTTATACACAGGTCTGACCCCCTGTAAACTGTGTGCTTTTTCTGTTAAGGCCACAGGTCTGACCTCCCTGTAACTTCTGTGATTGCTGCCACAGGTTCCACCTCCTGTAACTGCAGTGTGATTGCTATGGGCTACAGGTTCCTGTAACTGTGATTTCTGTTATACACAGGTCTGACCTCGTAACTGTGCAGGATTACATGCACAGGTCTGACCCCTGTGTCCCAGGGATTGTTATACAGATCTACCCCCCTGTGGCCCTGGGATTGTTATGCTGCAGATCTGACCCCTGTAACTGCGTGGGATTGTTAAGGCCAGCAAGAGATCTGACCCTGTAACTGTGTGATTGTTACACACAAACCTGCCCCCATTCCCTAACTGTGATCATTGTTAAGGGCCACACAGATCCACCCCTGTAACTGTGATTATTATACACAAATCTGCCCCCATTCCCTGTAACTGTGATTATTATACACAAATCTGCCCCCATTCCCTGTAACTGTGATACACAGATCTGCCCCCCTGTAACTGTGATTATTATACACAGATCTGCCCCCATTCCCTGTAACTGTGATTGTTATACACAAATCTGCCCCCATTCCCTGTAACTGTGATTGTTATACACAGATCTGCCTCCATTCCCTGTAACTGTGATTGTTATACACAGATCTGCCCCCATTCCCTGTAACTGTGATTGTTATACACAGATCTGACCCCCATTCCCTGTAACTGTGATTGTTATACACAGGTCTGACCCCCGGTAACTGTGATTGTTATACACAAATCTGCCCCCATTCCATGTAACTGTGATTGTTATACACAGATCTGCCTCCATTCCCTGTAACTGTGATTGTTATACACAGATCTGCCCCCATTCCCTGTAACTGTGATTGTTATACACAGATCTGCCCCCATTCCCTGTAACTGTGATTGTTATACACAGATCTGCCCCCATTCCCTGTAACTGTGATTGTTATACACAGATCTGCCCCCATTCCCTGTAACTGTGATTGTTATACACAGATCTGACCTCCCAGTCTGGTACAGGTACAGACAGTAGTAGTTGAGACAAGGTCTCTCTCCAGGAAAGCCATCCTCGCTCCTCAGCTCATCTCCATCCACCGACTCAGCCAGGGAGCCCTGAGCCTGCAACATCATGAATGATGACAACCACCAAAATCCTCCCCCCGGAAACCGGTCCGGCGGTAAACTCCTTCCCCTGGAAACTGGGAGCTGACAAACTTCATCCCAGCGGAAAGGACCAGGCTCCAAACTGCATCCCCTGAGAAATGCTCTGTGAAAAACACATTCTGCTTAAATACCGACAATATACCTTCACCGCAACTGTAAAACTAAATCCAGAGGAGAGGAGGCTTAAACATTGAAACCATGTCCGTCAGTAAAATCCCTCCCCATAACCGAGGAACAAGGTTCCGGATGCACAACGTTCCGACCTAGTTACTGGTTAGGGGGCAAACACACAGAGTTATAAAGTGAGAATTTTAGGTAAATTCAAACAGGACTATTCACTAAAGTGAGAATTTGAAGGGAATTTCAAATTTAAGATCAAAATAGCTGAACTGGAAACATTGTCTACGTCAGTTATGCTTCCAGTCCAGCTGCTTTGTTTTAAATTTTACATTTATTTTGAATCCTCACTTTGGTAAATAGCCCTTTAGATTTTTGGGAAATCGTCGAGCGATGAATCTGACTGTGAACTACTTTCAAAATGACATGCGACCACTTTATTAACCCCTAAGTAGCCAATTATCATATATCGTATGGTATGCCATGATCTTAGATTGTAAGCTCATTTGTGCAGGACCCTCTTCATCTCTTGTATCTGTTAATCTTGGCACATGTTCTGTCTAGACAAGATGGAAGTTTAAAGTGTATCCCAAGGCCTCAGGCGGAGTATTTCGGTCTGACAGAAGCAAAAAGGCCATGGCAGGTGTCAGGTGTGACCACACAGGAAATGTTCTAACAATCCTTGAATGTTGACAGAAACTTGTTTTATATCCCCAATGTACATGTAGTAAAGTTCTGTGTTGGTGCTATATAAATGCTGATAATTATAGTAAAAATATGAAGATTTGCGCCCTAGCTCCTAGTATTTAAAAGGTTAATATGATTATGACAAAGTAAATGTTAAGTGATTTTACTCACCTTTATTCCAGTGCTCCGTCTCCTTGACTGAGATCATCAAAATTGATGATCTCAGCCAACCAAATTCTTTTCTATAAGAAAGCATTGGGAGGCTATAGCGCATGCGCAGCAAAATTCAGCACCAATCAACACTGACCCAGGAAGCACCTCTAGTGACTACCACTAGAGGTGTTACTAGGCAGCAATGTAAACACTGCATTTTCTCTGAAAATTCAGCGTTTACATTGAAAAGCCTGCAGGGACAGGCTACACACACCAGAACAACTATATTAAACTGTAGTTGTTCTGGTGACTATAGTGCCCCTCAAAGCACTTTCATTCATGCATTTTCATGAATGAGGCTACACTGGACTGCTAAACTACACATGCCATAATCTTCTACTGGACAGAGGGTGATGACATTTGGGCAACTTCGACTGAAAACAAAGGGAAAGACAAGAAAAGAATAACTGAGAAATCACAGTCATGTCCTGGCCCTTAAAAAAAAGCCATGTCTTTCGAGGAAAGAAGGACATTCATAGGTGAGTATACTGTTTTGTTTTATAAAATGTTTACATTTTTTTTACTTGTACACCTGTCAATCCATTATTTCCATAATGTGTTCCTTTAATAGTGCAGAATGTCAAAATACAGAAAATGATACAGTATATAAATACAGACAATTCTGTGCAAATGTTCTTAGCAGGGTTTAAAAAAAATAAAATAAAAAAAAGCTGTAAAATACAAATTATTTCAAATATAGACATGTTAATATTTTTTGTTTTTACTTAATAACAAATTTTACAGTAAGTGAACAGAAGAAAAATCTAATTCAATATTTGATGTGACCACAAGAGTAAATCCCTCCCTCTTTTGTCCCTTTAAAAAAAATAAAGCCCTCTTGCATGAGGTAATAACCACATTAAAAATGGCGGCCAGAGCCTCAGTTCAGTATACCAACTGGAAGGTGTATGATGTAACTACCATATTCAAAATGGCTGCCACAGCCTCACTTCACGGCCCCGCCCCTTCCTATCAGAACGTTCGGGGATTCCCCCGCATCCCATCCTGCGAGCTCCAGACCCCGCCCACTCTGGGTGGTACTTGTTCTTCCCGCCCAACGCCTCCCCGCGCTGCATGCTGGGAGTCGCCTGTCTCTGGCGCCATCTTGTCCCCTCATTGTAGGATTGTGTTTTTTTTCCTTCCGTTGAGGCTTCGCTTCTCCTGAGATTCCGTTCGTGTTGTCGCCATGGGGAGGAAGAAGAAGAAGCAGCTGAAGCCCTGGTGCTGGTATCCTTCTCTGTGGGACGGTGTGGGCTGTGTGTTTATAATATATTGATGGCGGGGTCTGTTACTGCGTGCTGTGTGGGGGTAGGCCTCGCTCGCGCTCTCTCTCTCTCTCGTTAGATCTGTGTGTATGGGGGGGGGTTTAGATC